TATATTTTTTTTTTTTTAATGAACATAAAAGCCTCTGCATTTAAGAACTGCTGTGGCTCTGGCAGTTTTCCTCTATAAACTTCTGCCTGTGATGGCAGCCTTGGCTTAAGAAATTCTTGCCTTCTCCTGCTTCTTTCCAGGTAGCACTTGAGCTCATCACGTTCAGACATCCTGTCTGTGTGTACAGACACTGGTCTGTACATGCAAACCACGCACTGTATGCAACATAATGCTGTGAACTGCCTCACTGAATTGATTCCTAGTAAAAGTAACGCTCTCAAACAGGGGGAAGGAGGAGTATTTTTAATTGGGATTAATTTGATGGCCTGGTTTACAGTGCAAACTCAGAAACTGTCCCACCAGCATGCCTAGGTGGAGGCTGGGATGAGGCAGAAGGTAAAGACCTGCACTGAAGAAGTGAGTGATCAGGGTAGGGCTGGAATCCCTTGATCCAGCTGTGTCACTGGATCCAGCGTGTTGTCAAAGAGCACCCTCAGGTGTGCTTCTCAGTGAGGTGATTCACTGCTTTTGAATGGTTGATGCAGTATGGGTTGTACAGTGATGTTTTAAGGGAGTGATTTGGCTGTTGTTTTATTTCTGTGTTCTGGCTTTTTTTGACAGCTCTTCTGCAACAGAACATCCTTGGCTTGAAAGCAGCCCAAAAGCTTCCCCGTCGTTCCAGCTTTCCATGGGAAACAGCAGGCAGCCAGGAGGTTACCTTGCGCCCCCTGAATTTTCAAATGCTGTGCAAGATGTCTCTCTCTTGTCTCATTTCCAAAATCCAGGACTCCAGGTCATCACCCTGAGCAGCCTGGAGAACTCACCAGCAGAGCCACACCAAGAACCTGCTCTCAGCAGCAGTGTCCGGCCCTACCTGAGCTACAGTGGGGGCAGCAGGGGCGGTGGCTCTCCCCAGGAAGAGAAACACGCTACTTTCCTAGCCAATACTAGCATCTCTCCTAAAACCGTGAGCTCAGGGGCAGGTGCCAAGGACAGTGGCTTTTTGACACAAAACTTTGTTACGGTGGCCCCTGGACACACTAGCCAGAACAGTGTGGGGCAGCAGCACCATGGAGGGAACCTGTACACTCAGCCGCCTCTTCCAGAGAAAAAGAGGTCCTCCGAAGGAGACCGTTCCTTCACCTCCGTGTCACCTTCTTCAAGTGGCTTCTCTAGCCCCCACAGTGGCAGCACAATCAGCATCCCCTTCCCAAATGTTCTCCCAGATTTCTCAAAAATGTTAAGCACTTCCCCAGTGCCAGGTAGGTTCTGCCTTAGAGAAATGCAAAATACGTTAGATTTTATTTGAGTTCATGAAAAGCATTTAGGGAACTTTAAAAGTGGAGAAGGGGGAAGATAAAGCAATGGAATTGAAAAGGCAGAGAGAACTTGAGTGTGGGCAGTAAGTGGCACCAGCTCCTTGGCTTTGGATGTATTATTTGGAGAACAAGGCTGCAGAATTCTTTCTGCACTTCCGTAGATGTTAGCCAGCGGTAGCCTACCATTCAGACTACCAAACCACAACGGAGCAGTGTGGAGTCCAGCTTCTTTTAATAAAGGCTGGCTTCTCTCTGTACTTTACTAGACTTGTGTCAAGAAGAGATAGAAGTGTAGATGTGTATTCATGGGACCTTTTTGAGAAGCTTTGTATTTGATACAGCTTTATGAAAGTAAAAGCTTTTCATATTTTATAGGTTTTGCAAAATGAAACTTCAAGAATGCTTTCAGAATCTTAGTGTACAGTATTATATTTCCTGGTTCTGAAACATTTCAGGGTTTCTCTAAGTTGCCCTTCTAATAATTATTTTTTTAATAACTAAGGTGATTGGAAGTTGGAAAGAAAAGTAAAAAATGCTTTTGTATTTAAAAAACTTCTTGACTTTTTTCTCCCTTTTATTTCACAGAAAACACAACAGATAAACATGTGACCGTAAAATTTGTCCAGGACACCTCCAAGTTCTGGTATAAGCCAGATATTTCAAGAGAACAAGGTATATCAGCTGAGCTGTGTGTTCTGACATATCCATTCACAGAAAAGCTAGTTGGTGAATTCCCCTTAATTTTTTTTTTTTAATGCATACCTAATCTCTAAAAGAAGTACAAGAAGAAATGGGAAACCTATGGGGGCACAGACAACCTTGTTTAATTTCTTTTGTACAAAGGCTGAATTTAAGACTGGAAGGCAATCAAGTAATCCTTAAAAAAATGTTCAGTTAATGAGACGAATTATTAGCCTAACTGAACTAACTACAAAGTAATTTAAATCTGCCTGTAGTAGCTGCTGCAAATGTAATTCACTCAAAAGCTCTAGGTTTTGGAATGACAGATGTGTACTGCAATACCAAACAACTGTCTGGTCTCAGAAACCTTTTGAACAGAAGCGTGCCACTCTGGCATGCTCTCAGCCATCTGTGCTTCCCTGCACAGATATGACAGATTGAGAGATGCTAAATACTAGAGAACAGTTAGGTAGGTAGAAGTCATCATAAAAGCATCATCATCTGCTGGTCATTCTGTAACCTGGATTTCTTTGTCAGCTGAAAGTGATGTACACTATTTTATAAAGGTCATGAAATAACACTCCTGTGTAACAACATCTTCATGATGCACAGTACAGATACAGCACATCTCGATGTAGATGTGTTATTGAGTGAGACAGAGAAAGCTTTTACTCGGTATGTGAAAATGTGCACATGCAAACTAACACCTTGTCCCTGCATAAATAAAGCATACAGGGTGCTTTGCAAATGCAATGGATCTGATGGTCCTTGTGTCCATATTTTAATATTCAGCTATACTGAATTGTATTTGGAGAGTTACAGCAGGATTTTAAACTGGCATTCTTGAAATGTTGTCAGAAAGGAAAACTGACAGATCAGTTCTGCATTGGAAAGGAAGTTCCTACACAACCAAAATAGGCTGCCACTCTTGGCACAGGATGAATTACTCTGTCTGATTCATCGTTCCTCAAATCCTGAGGATGCCTGGTAGAGTGTAGTGGTAAATATGAGCTCAGTGGAATAATTATCATAGAAAACAGATCATTAACTCATCTTTGGATGATGTCTTACTGGTCCTTACAGTCCCCTTCTCTGCTCCCCACCCATAATGAGAACTAAGTCTTTAAATGTTTAAAAAAAAAAAAATTTCTGACTTGATGTGAGTCCAGAGAGTGATGTAGGTAGGTCATGAAGGAAATTTAAATCTAGCTGCTTTAGCAAATGAAAAGAAAATCTTCCCAGCCCTTTAGTATGCCTCTTTTCACTCTGCCAAGTAAAATTAAAGTGTTTTAAGATACTGTTGGGGGGGGGGGGGGAAGCACTTGTTCTTTTTTTTCCTGTGCTTAATAGACTGCTGCTGTGACAAATGATTGCTATTTCCCTGCAGATTTAGAAGTGTTATCTGAGTACTAGTGAGCTGTGGAGTTTCATATACTCATGCTTCATCTCTCAACTCATGGAATGTTCTTATGAAAATGGTTGCTTTCTTCACCATCAGAGAAATGAATACAGCAGAATATATATACATTCGCTTTACTCACTTAAACAAGAGAGACAATTATGTCTGTGTTTTCCTGATCTTCTGTTACTATTCATTTTTTCATGGAAAAATAATGCGTGTGTGTTTTTATGATATAATCATTGCTCAGGCCTTGCAAAATATGGCTTCATATGCTTAATTTCCATGTTCTGTGTATACAGACAGTTAAGGACTCCAGGGTCAAATTTGGGCCTCTTCCAAGGTTTCTTTGAAGGTTTGCTGATCTTTAGAAAATCTGGAAACAAACACAAGTGTTTCCATAGGTTTAAGGGGCGGGGGGGGAAGCAAAGAACTAAGGTTTTATTAAGATCAATTATTAGATGAACGTTTTGCGTTTTTCAAAGTGAGTTTGAAGTTTGGGACTACTAGATTCCAGAGTCTGCCACAGACTCATGCAAAACAAGGGTAGCTTCCCTGAAAATGGTTCCCCCTGGGGAGGACTTCATATCACACTGCCAGCAGAGATCACAGAATATAGGCGTAAAATATTTCAATGCTTGGACAGTCAAAGAGCAAATATCCACTTAGATCCCTTCCCTTGCTTTAAAACTAGTAAGGGAGTGAGACTGTTTTGCAAGGACAGAAACTTAGTGGTGTATGAAAACAGATCTGCTCTGCCTGCTGAAGCTGCATTGGAAAAGAAAAACAATGCTCTTCAGTCAGTGTGGGAATTAGAGGGAGCTGTGCTTTCTGTCATGCTTCTCATAAGCTGACAAAATGTGAGCAGGAATCAGCTTGCTTATGGAAGGGGATTGTAGGAGTCCTGGTGGGACCTGCATGTCCTTCGGAGTTTAAAAATAAGTGGGGATCTGTGATTCAGTCCTCTCTTGAAATAAGTATCTGAGATTTGCACAAGATGTTTGGATCCCCCAAATGTGTGTGATTGTTTTCTACAGAAATGGAAACAGAAGAGAATCTCGTTTCCCTTAGTCTCCTGTTAATTATAGATTTGCATGTCCATACTTCCTGGGTGTGTGCGTTGTTCAGCAGCCGTTTTCCTCTCTCCCTCCTTGCAGCCATCGCTGTTCTGAAGGACAAGGAGCCTGGCTCGTTCATTGTTCGAGACAGTCATTCTTTCCGGGGAGCCTATGGGCTGGCAATGAAGGTGGCTACACCACCTCCTTCTGTGCTCCAGTCCCACAAGAAAGGTACCGTATGCTTTCTATCACTTAAACCATACAGAGTAGGAAGTCCTTATTACTGGGTAATAATCCGGAGGAATCTCCCCTCTTCTAGTAAGTGCAACTTGAATGACAGGCTCCATTTGGTACCCTGTTACATGAGACTGGATAAGATGGCTGTTGTACTTTACAGTTTCACCATATCTTGTAAATTTGTGTTCACTGCGGCTATGCATGTGTTGTACCTTATCAACCTAATAAAAAAAAAAAAAGTCATCTCAGTAATGGATCCTCCCTAGCAATCAGAAGTCTTCATTTGATCCACATATCACCATGTAAAGCTTTTGCTTGGCTGGAAAGTTGAATATTTTTGGCCACAAGGTATTGTTTTGAGACAGTTCTACATTGGTTACAAATCTGAGGATGTTCCCTAAGGAAAGATGATAGTTGTTTAAAAGAAGTGATGAAATACACCTACTCCCCCAGCTCCAGTGCTTCCATATATAACTGGTGCCTGTTGTGAAAGGTAAAATGAGAAGAACATACAGAAAGCATTAATCAACGTATGGAAACTCAGCAGACAGTATCTGTAGTGGTCTTGGCTCCATTTGTGGTACTGCAAGGGTAGTGGGATGACTTTCATGGCTGCTGTTTTCTTTTCACAAAGCTTACTATGTTTGATTATTATGTGTTACCTGGTGAGATAAGCAGCTGAGATCACAGTGAAGCAGAAATTCTCAGTGTTGTGGTTATAGAAGTGTGGTTTTGTCTGGTTGTGGTTGGTTGGTTGGTTGGCTGTTGGTTTCTTTCCTTTTAAGATTTCATGCTTACTTTGAGGCAAGGTTAGCAGTCCTCCTCCGTCACAGTAACCCTTTCAAAGTCTGTATGCTTAGTCTGGTATCTTGAGTGAATTTCAAATAGAAGTTTACTGTGTACTCCTTATTTCCAAGAATCATCAGCACATATTTGGTTATGCACCTAGGTAATGATAGTAACAAGGAGGCAAATGGAGTGTGGCTGTAGGTGTTTTTAGTCAACTTTTTTTATCATCAGACCAGTGAAGTCCAGGAAGACATCAGACTACTAGCCAGTTTGTTAGTTGTACTACAGGTGAGTAGTAGTAAGAGAAAGTTGTAGTTGAGACTGTAGCATTCTTCCAGTTCTTCCTCTGTGATATTTAGCTTTTTTGGTTCCCACTGTTTCATCCCAGAAGGCACAAATTTGTTCAGTCTCCTGCAGGGTTTCTTGTTCCAAGGTTCCCCTTCCCGCATACCCTTGTAGTTATTTAGTTTTAAGATAGTGAGAGCATAGTTGCAAAAAGTGAGCTGTTTGAAAAATTTATCTTTGCAGTAATTTGCTTGTGTATAAGTTTTTGCTGTCCAGATTAATGCGTTCATCTGTATTAGCCTGAAAGTCAGCCCTTGGTGTCACGTGTTGCCTGGACTGTGGCTGAGGGATCATAATCAAAGGGAGCATTTGTGTGTCTGTCTCTTTTGTTAAGGTTTGAATGGTTGGATAGCTTTGTCCTGGTGCTATGAAATAACCTTTTAGTTACATAGAGAGATTCAGTTTGTAGTCAGATGTGAAATACCATGAACCAGTCTTTCAAGCAATAACAAAGTTGTCTTAATTTTATGTGTGCATCTGTATGTATGTGTTTAAAAGAATGCTAAGTCTCAAGGGAGTTTTTTTTTATGCCTCTTGGACCTTGAATCTCAATACATCCAATTTAACAATTTCTACTTGTTCTAGATTGCTGGGAGATAAAAGCTGTACTTAAAATTCTCCTGAAACCTGAAGGTTTAATGTAATTATTTGTTTTCAGGAGCAAAGATGTAGTTTAAAACTGCAAACATTTTAAAACTTAACAATTCACTGAGAGAATTAGCATCGTCTTTTGTGTAGGTAAATCTTCTATTGTTTTAATCTCCAAAGGTTCTGTGACCAGAACTGTCACTAGAAATTTAAGTATTGTGTCGTGCTTTACTCCCTTATCACACTGGATACAAGTTCTCCTCATAGGCAAATGTATCAGAATTTCTAACCATTTGTTTTTCACATTTATTTACCTATCTGTAGTTGGGACCATATTTGGACATTTTGGACACCAAGTGTATATTTGGATGTCAGTGACTTATGATTATAAAACCTTTTCCTCTTTGTCTAAAGCAAACTATTGGTTTGTTTGGTTTTTTTTGCAAAATGGCCTTATTACTACAGCTTGTAACCTTGCAGCAGAGCAGGTCTAATGTATTCTTTGCATGCTGTATATAAAACATTTGGTGTTAATGTGGAAAACTGCTTCATAAAGACCTGCTAATTTGTGAGGCTGTTGTCTGTTCATGCTTTGTTTCTTGAGCTTTCTTTTTCTTTTTTCAACGCAGTTGGAGATCTGTCAAATGAGCTTGTAAGGCATTTTCTGATTGAATGCACTCACAAGGGGGTGCGCTTGAAAGGGTGCCCGAACGAGCCATATTTTGGTAAGTACCATGCATCACAGTGACACAGAAAATGGAAACAGTTTGCATTTGCCAGGCCTGTTTTCTAGACTTGTGTGGAGTGCAAATGAGAGAATACTTTGCTCAAGTCCTGCTGGGACCCATTCTAAGATTGTAGGAGCCTTGTACACATTTACTTTAAGTATATGTGCAGGGCTCTGTCTCGCACAGATACACATGATCAAACTTAACTACTGCTACCAATGCCACTGCAGACAGCTGAGCTAGATGGCCATTATGGGCCTTAATGATCCAGGGCCGTTGCCTTATTTTGTCCTGTGGTATATTTATACTAGCAGGCTAAAGTGACACCAGAGTGAGGCATTCACAAAGCACATTATTATCCATCAGCCTATCAAAAGTAATATGATAAAAGCACATTACCTGTTGTGGCAGACAGTGAAACACTACCTGGCTCCTCATTCAGTTGTCCTCCTCGGTGGGCAGGAAGGGAAAATAGGATGAGAAAGCTCATGGGAAGATGAAAAGACAGAGAGATAGCTACCCAGTTACTACTGCGGGCAAAAGAGACTCAATTTGGGAATAACAGCTTATTTTTTTGCCAATTAAAATCAATACTCAGGTAGTGAGAAGCAAAGGCAGACATGAAAATAACACTTCTTCTTTCCCTTTTCCCAAGCTCATCTTCACTGCTTCCCCTAGACTCCTCACTCCCAACAGAGGTGGTGCAGGATGTGGTGGTGGGGTTTATGGTTCTTACAGAACAGTTCCTCCCTGCTGTTCCATCCTTCTCCCACTTTTTCCCTGCTAAGGTGTGAACTTTCCCCGTGGGCTGCCATCCTTCAGGAAAACCAGTCTGCTCCAGCATATGGTCTCTGTGGACCACGGTTCCTTCAGGAAGCAGCCATTTGTTCAAGGCGAGGTCCTCCACAGGATATAGGGTGGGGGTTGTCAGCTGGGGTGTCTGGAGAACCTCTTTCTCCTTCTTCTCCTCTGACCATCATGTACCCTCTGCTGTGTCTCACCCTTTTTGATCCCTTCTTGTCTCTGTGCAACCTTTTCTGCCCTTTCTTAGGTACACTTTCCCAGAGGCATCCTACCCATGGCTCAGTGGTGGGTGCCCTGCAGTGGGTCTGCAGGAGCTGGCTGTGGCCAGCATGGGGCAGACCCTGACCTCTTCCCACAGAGGACACCCTGCATCCCTCCCAACCCCTTGCTACCAGCCTTGTCACATGCACCAAATAAGCCCATGAAAGGATCATCTACCATAAAATGACCAAGTGTAAAATGACAAATCCTATTTAAAATAAAGGTGGATTTAATTTTGTCCATGTTTGGCATGAGACTTCTTTCAAACCAATTTTTAGCCCAGTACTGAGATGAAGTACCTGTTCATGGCACATAGGTAGCCCTATGAACCATTTAGTTTGAACATCTCATCTTTCAATGTATGCAGCCCCAAAATTGCCTCACAGAATAGATGGACAGGCAAAATTACACACTTTTATGGATAAGACAACGAAGGACTAATAGTATCAACTGGTCTTTGCTTTTCTGTAAGACCCTGCAGAATTGGGTCATCTTTCCATTTCAGAGACGTTTTTGATAGGATCTAAAATGCAGTTGTGTTTGGTTGAACTGCAGTTTTTCACAAGCACAATTACAAGAGTTAATGTATGTTAGTGAATAGGATTGAAGGGTGGCTTTTTGTACAAACTGATGAATGTTTTGTGATCCTCGCTCCTTATAGTCTTACAGGCTCGTGTCAAAGATAACTAATATTTAATTACTTTAATTAAGCCAAGTCTAAATGGCAGAAGTAACTTTGATTAGAAAGGAATAATTTAATAGAGAATGCTACATACATCACTGCCACATTGAATGTTTTTGTCTAGACCATCTTCCGTACTTTTGAAAGCACAAAATAGAAGTGTGTGTAGACAAAGCACCAGACAGTGGAGACTAGGTGGCTGAGAAGCGGAACTCACTTTTTTCCTGCCTTATCACATAGCATTGACCCTTTGTGCTGTTACCATCTTCATAAGATTTTATTACATTTAATGTAGCAGAAGTTAAGAGCATTGAAAGGACTGACTTCTGTATGTTACCGGTTCTGTCATTTTTGTGCTTTCTCCATATAAAACAAAGCCATTTAGGTTGGGATTTAAACACTGTCTTTAAGCAGGGAAGGGGAATGTGTGATTGTGGTTAATGTTGAAATACATTCAACTGGGACAGTGCTGGGAAACAGGAATATGCTGAAGTTCACAAAAAAAGATCTTGGCTTAGGTGCCAAGAGGATTTTTTCTGAAGGTTGAAGGGCAGGCCCCTTGGTCTACAAAATGCTTGAGAGCAAACATAACTGTTAAGTATTCTTGTCCACGTAGTTAACTGTGCCTGTCTTGTTCCTCTTGACCACAGGGAGTTTGACAGCTCTGGTGTATCAGCATTCCATCACTCCACTGGCATTGCCCTGCAAGCTCCTCATCCCAGACAGAGGTACGCCTGTTAAAGTACAGTAGAGAGAGACTCTGCCAAGCTCTGCTTCAAAGTGCTAGTGTCTGAGGGAGAGGCAACATGGTCACTAGTTGAGATCTAAGCAAAAACACCTCGGGAAGGGAGCTGTGTTTTGTAAGTGGTTCTTCAGTGCTGCTGACGGCTCTTAGCCCAGCAGCAGTTGTGAGCAGACTAGTACTGTGATGTTCCAGTCATAAACATACATGTGTCGTGGAAGTCCACACAGTAATCGGTCGTGGGGGAAGGCAAAGGTCCTTCTCAGGTATGAAATGATGCTCTTGCATGGTTAGATGTAACCGCCCATTCAGGCCTGGGTGGCAAAAGGGCTTTAGGGAAGGTAAAGAACAGACGGTGCCCCGAGTGTGACACTGGCAGGAAGGAAGTAGCAGCTTACACAGGTCCAAATATTGTTTAAATAAATGATCAGAAAGCCTGTGTTGCATCAGGGGACTGTACTTTTAATTTTTGTTACGGTCATTTCATAAACCACTCTAAACAGCAACATGCAGCTATATTTGCCCCATAATTCAGTTGTCTGTTACTCTCCCCCATGAAGCTGACACCAGATGTGTTACTGAAATGTTAAACATTCTTGTGGTTTTCTACTGAACTCTTTAAACTTTTGTTAAAGGCCATATGTCAGTGTTCAAACATAGTATTTAAATTATGCAAATACATTAATAAAACCATTTTAGCATGAAAACATGCTATCGTAGATGTGACCAGAGATCTCTTTATATGGCAAACCAGTGTGGTAGGTAGGCTTGTTCTCCTTATCCTCCTCACCAAAAATGGAAAGCTCCTTCTGTTCTGGCAGAGGTGCAGGGCTGAAACTTTGCTTTGTCCCCAGTAAACATACCATGGTGAAATTTTGTTTTGGATTTCTTTTTGCGTCTGATACGATCATGCATTTCAAGGTTATCTTCTGTGGTTGATGATTCTGCGCACAGTGCATGGAGTATTTAAAGCATATGGATAACTCTGAACATGTGAATAGTGTCTCACACCATACTGCTGCTCTTTTCATTATTTGAATGTATTCAGAGACAGCAAGCATTGTGTTAAATATAAAAGGAAGTGAGATTGTCTTATGTGCATTTATATAACTGAAATACTGATGGAGTTTTCTCACTAGTTTTAACAGGACTGGGAGATTTCTCTCTTAATACACTGCTGTCTTAATTGTTCAGATGTTGTTTTCTACATAAATATGAAGAAAAAAGGATTATGTTGTCATCTGAATCAAAATACAATTAATTGATTTCATTGTAGAAACACACAAGCCTTTTTGCCTAACTTAGGCAAAGTTACACAATTACAAAAATTAAATGATATTATTAAATTGCAGTATTTAAGAAATTTTGAGATTGTAATGAGGGAATGCAGCTATTAGTATTTTTTAATGTGACATCATGTGTGTCCCTGCAGCATATGCTATGTAGTTATATCTCTTACTGTCAGGAAATGAAAGCTTGAGCATTCCTACTGCAACACTGGAAGCAAAAACCTCATGCAGCACAAAACTCACATGGATTATTATACAAGGTTGTTTGTGTTTCTGGCCGAGAGTTGTCCAGTACCAAAGCTAAACTCATACTTGACTATGTGCATTGATTTGTCAATTCAAGTGCAGACAAGAGATGGACAGTGTTTTGTGTTTGCAGATCCCTTGGAGGAGGTCGCAGAAACATCTCCACAGACTGCTGCAAATTCGGCGGCGGAGCTTCTCAAGCAGGGTGCAGGTCTGTTAAACTTTTCCCTTGCATTTGACTGTCACCAAACTTCATACCTTACAGACTGGGAGAGGCTGAAGCTTAGGCTGGACTGAAGGGTGTTTAAAGGGAGCTGTTAAAATTTACAGTGCTGTGTAATAGTGTAAAGGGCACTGTGAGGGATGTGTACCCTGTTCTTTCTTTTTTTTCTGCAACCAGTTCTACAACACTGCGTTCCTTTCCAGTCCTGAGAGTATGAGGTGCACACAGGTTGGTGCAAGCACAGCAGTTTTTAAGCAGTGACATTGCTTTCATAACTGATGAACTTAGAGAAGATAAACTTCTCAAACTGTGGTTGCAGAGAGTCATAAACTATGTCTGAGGTGTGCAAAAGGCAGCTAAGGAAAGTGTTCAGTAGGGTTAAATTCTCGGCATAGGGGTCAACACCACCACTGGAAAATGCTTACTGTCCTATCAATCTGAAAAAAACAAACAAACAAACAAAACAACCAAAAATAAAATCTTAAAACTATTGCCCCATGCTTCACTTGATGCTGCATGTGGTTAGGAAATGTCCAATGTCTTTTCCATTGGGTGCTGTTGTATGGATTCTCATGCATACTGCTGCACCCATTATGGCAGGTTGTCTTACCATGAGCTTATTGAGGTGGCAGACAAACCCTGACAAAATCACCTCCACATGATGTCACTCTAAGCATTGGTACCATCTGTATCACTCCCAAGTAGAGGTATTTGCAGCAGCTGCGATAGGGATGTGCTCTGCTTCTCATCTGCTGTGTTTGTGTGCAGCTGATCTAGAGACAGCTAGTGAAGCAGCCTCTCTGAAGAAGTGTGATGGAATCTCTTAGGATCCACTCTTACTGGACCTCGTGCTCTGAGTACCCCTTCACAATCTTAAGGCTCTCCTTAGTAGAAATGCAGCCACTGTTTTATTCTCCTCTACAGTGGGCATGCTCAGAGACTCCTGTCCACACCCTTCCATGGTCCCTGGTTTTCAGGCTGCTGTGAATACTCCTCAGGGTCTGGCTCCGGAGTTAGTCCCATTAAAACAGGAGAGTATGCTACATCAGCCACTCTGCTGTGAGTTTGCCTTAGCACTGGAGCCACAGGCAAATATGTGGTGGCCAAGCATGCCTTTTTAAGAATGCTGCCTCATTGACCTCACCTATTTTAGGGCACTTCTGAAGGGGGCAGAGAAGCTGAGCCGCTCTGGAGAGAGAGTGTGTTGGTCCTTGATTGTGCAGCAGTCTGCTTTGACTTAAAAATTTGAAGTACTACTTGGAGTGCTGTAATCA